TTACTAGGGGTGTGGGGGGAAAGGGGATAATTGCTGGAAAGAGACATGGAGGGATCAAGAGGAAATTACACAGAATACAGCCGGAGAGTTCAGGCTCCTTGGAGGGAGGACAAGCAGCTCATCTCTGAGGAAGAGCAAAAGAAAGATTCATTAAATCCATTTACTACAATAGTTTAAGGAGGGGAGTAACTTTAAACTCAGTCCACATTCTTCCAGTCTTCATGGCTGTCACAATCAGATTTGTGGATGTGAATGCATGCATAATAATAGTCCGCTTTTTATACAGTAATTTCCTAGTAGAGCCAATTGTACCAACGTAACTGGATATTTGTATACATCATGAAATAGTTGCTGCGGTGAGAACCATCAGTGTCCAGAGCCATCAGAGTTAACAGTTTTGTTGTGTGATGAGAAATTTTGAAGATCACTCAGCACATTCACGACATGTTGTCCCAACCTGCTGGCTGATACCTTATCTTAGCCTCCTTGTGTGCTAGAAAAAACTTCCTCTTTGTGCCTCCCAGAAGAATTAGGTTCTCAGAGCCTGGGGGCCCAGAGAGGGACATATGTCCCCAAGAGGCACATAGTACATTTTAGTATAGTTTCGAACTTTTGTTTTGTTTGGCCATATCTGATGAAGCTCAGGGGTTACTCCTGGCTGTCATTCAGGAATGAGTCATGATGTTGCTTGGGGGACCACAAGGGATGCTGGGGATTGAATCTGACTCATCTGTGTGCAAGGCAAATGCCCTCCCCACTGTGCTGTTGCCCAAACCAGTTCATTGTAGTTTTGAAAGACAACATCTGTGACAGTTGGAATGAATTATCTACTTGATTAGACCATGGGGTCCCCAGATTTGGCCTGGCATTGTTGTTCAGGGTACGCATAGGAGTGTGTTTCTAGGTAAAAATCCACACTTTGATCAGTAGACTCAGTAGAGCAACTTGGTCCTTATGGTGTGGCTGGGCTTCCTTCAGTCTTTTGAGGCCTGAAAAATAGACCAGAAAAGTGGAGAAATTCATGTGTTCCTCCCAGCTCTCTAGCTGGAACTTCTGTCTTTGCCCTTCATCTTCCTGGTTTTCAGTCTTTTGATTACACTGAGTGGCACCATTGCTTGTCTTGAAGTTTCATCTTGCAGACATCATGTCATGGAACCCTCATGGAGGTTTCTTCCTTCTTTGTTTCCTGAGACAATCTCTCCTGGACTTCTTTCTGTGCACCCATTAGTGCCTCATTCATTTTTTTTTTCTGGGAAGTCCTGAAAACTATGGCATTGCTCAGGAGGTCTGTTTACAGAGAGTGTTCTGGAAATTAGCAAATAGACTTTCCTAATATTTGAAGAATGATGACCTGGCTCGGGTGTTCTGACTCGAGCTGGATGTCACTCCAGGTCAGAGGCAGGGGCGGCACTCCTGGCTGTGCTGAGCACTCGGCAGCGCCCAAAGGGGCCACACTCGACACCATCCTGCATGCCTCGTGTTAGGCTCAGGGGATTGGGATGTGGTTTGTTCTGTCGATTAAACTGCGGGAGCTCCAGACTCTGAGCTCTCCTGACTTCTGAAGTTAACATCTGTTCCTGTAGCTTGTCCCTTAAAGTTTGAGTTCAGCATTTTAACAAATGAAACAGAAATTCCCTTGGAGAGAAGCTAGGCCACAGAAAAAACACTTTGAAAAGGAATTTTAGGACCGGAGAGTACTGTGAATAGGGCGTTTTTGCCTTGCATGTGGCCTATCCATGTTCATTCCTGCACTCCACATGGTCACTGAGTCCTGCCAGGAGTGATCCTGAGCTCAGAGCCAGGAGTAAGCTCTGAGCACCAGTGGGTGCAGCCCCCAAACCAAAAAGGATAAAAAATTAAAAGGAGTGTTTGATGTATCTATCTCACATGATTTTATTCACAGGAACAGTGTATGTTCACAAACCACCACAAACTAGTCTCTTTATTATAAATCCTTAGACTGACCTGATATGAAAGAGCGTCCAAAAAATAAAAGATATTTTCAGCAAATTTCGATCCTTTTAAATGTAATATATTCTCTATTGGGCTGGAAGGATAGCACCGCGGGTAGGGCATTTGCTTTGCATGGGACCGATCTGGGTTCGATTCCTCGGCCCCTCTCAGAACCCGGCAAGCTACCAAGAGTATCCCACCTGCACGGCAGAGCCTGGCAAGCTCCCCATGGCGTATTCGATATGCCAGAAACAGTAACAAGTCTCACAGTGGAGATGTTACTGGTGCCCGCTCGATCAAATCGATGAACAACAGGAGGACAGTGCTACAGTGCTACGTTCTCGATTAAAATATGTATATTCATCAGTCAAATTTCAATGAAAAACTTTGCTTCTGAGTCAATTACAAATTAGATATTATTTAAGAAGAGAGCTAATCTGATAGCCCAAAAATAGAAGTAAATTTTAAATAACTGGCAGTGAGCTGAACCAAGGGCCACAGATTTTTTATGACAAGGTGATATGCCACCATCATCAAAAACAGATTTTGTGATCACATTGCTTTAGCAATATTAGCAATATCATTCACCTTGATAATCATTTGACTGGAACTAAGTTTTTTGTTTTGGGTTTTGTTTGAGGCCAGTGCCCAGGGTAATCCCTGGCTCTGTGCTTAGGGGTCACTCCTGGTGGTGCCCGGGTTTTGAGCCAGGGTTGGCCATACACAAAGTAAGGATCTTTACTTGTGCTATCTCTCTGAATAGGGAACTGAAGTTTCTGTGTTGTTAATAAACAAAACTGATTTTTTTTTTGTTATTTATTTTGTTTGTTCTTAAAGGGCCTCACAGGCAGTGTCCAGGAGACTCGGGGCCATGCGTGAGTGACCCTCATCATTGCTTGGGTCTTGCTCAGATCCAGTGGAGCCTGGGGTCATGTGGGCCCAAATGGGCTTGTAATCAGATTCAGGGCCCAGGACATGCCCTTTTAGCCATCACCCTGTTCCAGTAAAACTTTTTCAAAAAAATCTTTTGTACTAACGCATTCTAACCCTGCAGAAGTCTTTCTGTGTGTGCCCCTGGCCAGGTCACCCCACTTTCCTCAGCGGAGAATCTGCTCTGACATGCTCCTTCCCATCAGCACTGTGGCAAGCCTGGAGCTCACCTCTCGCTCTCTGTCTGCAGAGTCCTCACTTCTTTCTGTGAGGGCTGCACTTTCCAGTTTCTTCCCTTCCCTACCACTCTCTGCTCTCTTTAAGGAGCAAGAGGGAACCTTGGTAGCCTGCCTCCTTGGCAGCTGGCTCGCGTGACTGGTTTTCCAGAGAAGGCCGTGTAGGAAATTGGGGCTGTTCACCCTGGGTCCGGTCTGCTTGGCTCTCCACCTGCGGTCTCAGTGTGCTCCACCCACTGCTTGTGTCAGTGGGTCTCGTCAGAGCTCGAAGCCAGCAGCATGAATGTCACTGCCATTGTGACAGACCCGGGAGACTTCTCCGGGCTTCTGCAGCACCGTGATGCTCAGGAGTGGTGCTTCAGACCCATTTCACAGTGAAGAAACACTGTCTGGTGGGACAGGGCTGCTCTAGGGGGTGGCATAGTGTGGCCGTGCCACTCCCCACCCCCTCTGGGATCTTTGTTCCATGACTGTTTCCAGGTCCAAAGCACGGTGCCCCCCCAGCGCCTCACAGTGGTGTCCTGGAGCTGGCCCAGGCTGTTGGTTTCAGGGAGCAGGCCCTGAGCCAGGCTCGGCAGCCAGGGGCAGTGGCTGACGGTGACCCGTGCTTCCGTCTCGGGACACAGACTGTGCAGACACATGGCCAGCGGCATCTCTTGAACCCTCGAAGCACCAGTGGTGTCACCATCACATTGTTTGCATTCGTCTCTGGAAAGGCCCGGGAGCTGGGTGAGGTCAGCCAGCCTGGACATGCCTTCCGCCCTGTTGAATGAGTTGGCCCAGTGGAACTCATCGTTTCTGACTCTGCTTCCCATGTCCCCACGATGTTGTTCGGCTCGTGGCCCAGAGAGCTGAGCTTAGAGTTGTGCTGGGCACAGGGTCACGAGGCAGTGGGAAGTTTAGACCAGCACCTGCCTGACTTTGCTGGCTTTGGACGTCTGTGGAGTAGGCTGGTGTGAGGCCCAGGAGAGTGCCAGGGACATCAGTGGCTGCCAGGGGTTAGCATAACCTGGGTGTATGCATGTGCCGCAGAGAGAGCTGGTGCCTGCAGTGGATCCCTGAGAGTGGCCAAGAGGGACTCTTGAGCTGTGTCTCTTGAAATGGCCTCTCATTTTCAGTCTTTGCAAAGTTCCGTCTGTCCAAAGTGGTGGCTTGGGGATGGAGTGATAGCACAGCAGGTAGGGCGTTTACCTTGTACAAGGCCAACCTGGGTTCGATTCCCAGCATCCCATATGATCCCCTGAGCACCGCCAGGACTAATTCTTGAGTGCAGAGCCAGGAGTAACCCCTGTGCATCACCGGGTGTGACCCAAAAAGGGAAAAAAAAAAGAAACCAAAACCAAAATGGTGGCTTGTCCACTTACCCAGAAATACATGACTCCTTTCCAGCCCTGCCATGCTGCAGATGGCAGAATGGAGAGAAGCTGGCTAGACCACCATCGACGCACTTGGAGTTTTGTGTGGATGCTTGGGAGGAGTGTGTGTTAAGAGAAAAATGATTCGTTCAAGAACAGCAGGGTCGTAGAGACAGGAGTGAGCATCCTTTGGAGTGAAGTGATGGATGGGCTCGACCACAGACATGCCCGGGAAAGTGGGGGTGTATGATCCAGGAGTGTGGCCCCCTGGGACTTAAGGATCGGGGGCTTCTGACCGAACCGATCTGGCAGGATTCTTGCTGGCGGCAGCGTGTGGCAGGCTGACCTCTCAGGGCAGAGGAGGGACGGGGAGCAGCTGTCAAGGCTGGGGAGGGGCTCTCACCGACTCTGGGTGCACCTGCGTCAGGGCGAGCTGGGGGCAGCCTCCGGGGGAGCTGAGTCTGCCGTGTGGGGAGTGAGAGAGGGAAGTGGTGGGCAGGTGCGTGACTCCCGGGTCCCTCCCCAGGCAGAGGAGGAGCGAGACGACATGGAGCAGGTGAAACTGGACAACAAGCGGATCCTCTTCAACCTCCTGCCCGCCCATGTGGCTCAGCACTTCCTCATGTCCAACCCCAAGAACATGGTGAGTGGCGGGGCAGTGCGGGCACTCTGCGGCCCCTTGCAAGGGGCTGTTTCAGACTCACGGCCACACGGTGACCGAGCAACCTCCCTGCGTCTCTGGCAATGGTCTCCTCCTTGGGTTTCTGCAGAGAAATAGCACGCCCATCTTCGTGAGGAGGGAGCAGGGGGCCCCCAGGATCAGGGCTGCTCACTTGGACACAGCCCCTGAGTGTGCCGTTGGCCTGCCAGCAGGGCTCCGGAACCAGCCTCAGCACAAAGCCGAACTTAAAAGCACATTTTAGATCCTGGAGACACACAGGCAGGCCTTGACTCGTGATCCCAGAGCTTCCCCGAGGGATTTCTGGAAGTTTCTGGCCACACAGCAGGGAGCTTTGGTTTAGGAAGCCAGCCCGCCCCAGCCCCTGAAGCGCTGACCCGACCTTCCCCACCCCCTCCCTGTAGGACCTCTACTACCAGTCGTACGCACAGGTGGGCGTCATGTTTGCCTCCATCCCCAACTTCAACGACTTCTACATCGAGCTGGACGGCAACAACATGGGGGTGGAGTGCCTGCGGCTCCTCAATGAGATCATCGCCGACTTTGATGAGGTAGGGCCCTCACGTCCAGCCCGGGCCGCGCATCCCAGTGTGGGCCTGGGGCTGGGTGAGTCCCTTGCGGATCCGGCTGCTGCCCAGCAAGCCGGCATCTCTTCACGGGTAGAACAGGTGAAAGTCTAGCATGTGTCTCTCTGGGAAAGATGGTCCCTGTCAGGCACAGAGGAAGGAGGCCTGGGAGCAGTGGGTTCCAGATCTGAGCGTAGGACCCCGTGGACAGTGGGTGGGAGGCTGATCGCGGGCCTGGGTGGGTAGTGGGTTTGAGTTGAGTGCGGACCCTGCTGCTGGCTGGACTCGCTGGAGAGCGGGCCGTGGGTGCTGGCCTGGCTCCCTCCTGCCGTGGACCTTGCTCTCAGCGGCTTGGAGGCTTGCTTCTGGAAAGCAGAGTTAACCTGCTAGCTAGTTTGGCCCCTTCTTTTAAACACCCACTCAGGCCTCCGTTTTCAGTCCAGATGCAAACCCGCGTGAGTGTCCTGAGCGAAGCCTTTGCTCTCTTGGATGTGTCATCTGCTCTGTGGTCTTGTCCAGCATGACAGTTTTGTAACGTTGAACAGTTTTGTGTTTTAAACAAAGCTCATGGACAAAGATTTTTACAAGGACCTGGAGAAGATCAAGACCATCGGCAGCACCTACATGGCTGCAGTGGGGCTGGCGCCCACGGCAGGGGTCAAGGTGTGTAATATTCAAGCTCGCACTGCTGCATGGGTGGGTCTCGGGGCTGGAGGGAACTACAGCGGGTCGGGTGCTTGCCTTGCATGCAGATAACCCCAGTTTGGAACTCTAGAACCACATATCCTGGAACCGCCAGGCGTGACTCCTGAGCACTGAGCCAGGAATAAGCCCTAAACACTGCCAAGAATGACCCCAAACAAACAGAGGGCTGTGTCCCAGCTCTTTCCTGGGCAGACTCCACATCTGGGCCTCTGTGCCCTCTGCCCCAGAGTCAACCTCAGCCCATGTGCCAGCTTGTCATGCCAGCTTGACACCTCTCCTAGACACAGTGTCCAATGGAAAGTCCAACACAGAGTTGGTAGCTCCAGTGAGCAAGATTAGTCAAGATTTGTTCAACTGAATAGCATCATCAGTGAAGTGGAGAGGACGTTTACAGACACTCTGTCCAGCAAAAGAACACACTTTTCTTAAAGGCATCATGAGAGATAAGTCATGACGACAAACAAATGCCTTCTCCCTAAGACCAAGGCTTTTCCAAAAGAGCGGGACAGGAGTCTTCCCTTTTCCCCTTCCTCTCATCATACAAAAAGTCTAAGTTTCATATGCAAAATCAAGGAAGCGAATATCAGCATCACATTGGTAATGAAGATATAAAAATGTCTTTGGTTATAGAAGTTATGATTACTTATTTAGAAAATTGAAGAGAAAAAGCCCAGCTCACTCCTAGGGCTAATGAGATCTACAGCAAACCTGATTGTGGAATCAGGTTGGCCACGCCCTCGTATGTCAGCGATGAACAAGTAGCATGCAGAGCAGTTAAAATCACAGTTCCATTTACAATAACACGCCCCAAGTTACATCCTAGGCATAAATATAATAATTACGTGTAATATCTCTATGAGGAAAACCATAAGTCTTTTTAAAAAGTTTTTATTCACCAAAATTACCTCAGATTATAGGTAGTTTGGATTATATATGTTACAACTTCCAACTAGAAGAAAAATGAAAATGGAAACGACATACACAAATAGATTTAGAGACAAAAATAAGTCTCTTAGCTTTGAACCACCCATGTTTGTAAAATAGAGAAATTGTCTTTGATTTAATTTCAGTACTTCTGAATCTCTGCTTCAAGAGGTTTATCTAAATGTTTTTGAAATCATTTTAAAGGCAAGAGCAACCTAATTCCTACTTGAACATGGTCTTGACCTATAGTGTAAGTCTGATTTAATAATTTAAAAAATTAATATAGTTTAATATGCTTACATTGTTGTTGTCACTTATGATCTTGGTTTAAACAGTTTTATTATTTTAATTTGTTTTGCACACATGATTGACAAAGGTGTCCGTAATACAGTTGTTTCAGGCATTCACTCTTCCAGCACCAGCAGTGTGACCTTTCCCCCACCAACATCCCTGGTTTCCCTCCCAACCCCAGCCCGCCCCTCAGGCACAGAGCAAATTTACTTTCTATTGCTACTCCAACAATCATTACAGGAATGGCAAATAGAATGATCAGGAAGTAAAAGTAAAAGCCAATTTGTGATTGCTATACGATTTTAACCTATGTAAATAGGAAACTAAAACCACTTAATACAATATAATAAGATGCTTATTCTCATTGACACAAGCAAGTTTTCCACTCTGGACTCTATATTGCGTTCAATTTCATTTTGCACTTGGATCTCATTATGGTCATCATGTCTTACTTATCATTAATAAAACTTAAAAAACATTTCCTGCTAATATACTTTGGAGTTTACATGAAAAAGGCTTATATATGTAAAAAAGTACTCCCCCCATACTTTATTTAAACACTCGGGTTTACAAAGTCATTGAACAGCGGTCCCACCACCATTTCACTTTCCCTCCACCATTGTCTCAAATTTTCCCAAACAAGTTTGCCCCTATAGCTGGCCCACAATAATTTATTGTGTATTGCGTATCACCAATAAAATGCTAACAGCACTGGAGCACTGTAACACTGTCCTCCCGTTGTTCATTGCTCCAGCCGGCCCAGTAACGTCTCCATCGTGAGACTTCTCGTTACTGTGTTTGGTATATTGAATACATCACGGGGTGCTTGCCAGGCTTTGCTGTGAGGGCAAGATACTCTTGGTAGCTTGCCGGGCTCTCTGAGAGGAGTGGAGGAATTGAACTCGGGTTGGCCACATGGGCCACGTGCAAGGCAAACGTTCTACCGCTGTCCTATCACTCGGAAGAAAATTAGTGAAAATTGTTGTATCTCACCGTGGAGACATTAAGTCCTTGCCTGAGGGATTACTAGAATGCTGCTACAATAAGCCATATCTGTTAATGTTTTTATTAATCAAGATTGGTTGGCTTCTAAGTTACATCCCGTACAATCTGGTGTATTTATCAGTGTTGTACAGTTTGGAGATTCATTCCAGGAAATCCAGAATATTTAACTGGGCAGTCCAACTGGAGTTAAATTTTTAACTTTGGGTTGTGGACCTGATTACTGGGCTTTCTCAGAAGTTCAGGGAGCTGAAGGGAGGTACCTATCCTGACTCTGAAAAGGCCTCAAGTTTTCATTCACAGGGACCCGTGAAATGGGTACTTGAGTTTCCGGCAGGTTAATTTCACTGCTAGGCTCATCCCGAGGTGATGGAGTCCAGCCAGAGCATGGCGGGGATATGGAGTGTGGGCGTGAGCAGCTGCCAGACTTTGTTTGGGTGGGCGCTGGTCTATCCCCTCTGAGAGTGCCCCAGATGTCTCAGCCGGGAATGGGTGCTCCAATAAGTTTTTGTAACTACTTTGTCTCTTTGAAGATTTAACTTCAGAGTTTCTGGAGCAGGGCTGGTGAAGATGAGCTTACCTGGTGGTGGAGGTGGTTCATTCAGCTGATCTTTAACAAAGGAACAGACAACACAGAGGGACAAAGCAGAATCATTTCACTGACTACTTCAACAAACGTTGGCACAGCTGGACATCTGTGTCTACATATTTTAAGTGAGCACAGCCACATGCACATATGCTTCACAGAAACTAACTCAAATGTATAATAGACGTAAATACAAAATGAAAACCTACAATGTCTGGAAGATAAAAGAAAGTCTAGGCAATCTTGAATTCGGGGGTAATTTTCTTAGATACAACAAAACGTGGTAATTTTGACCCAATCTTAGAATTCTACTACAGCTATAAAGAAAAGACAGTGAATTCACAGACTTGAATAGTTTTGCTAACCCACCTACCTGTTACAGTACTTGTAACCAGATTTGTAGCCAAATACTCACATATTTATAAGAATTCTTAAAACTTGAAACTCTTTTTTTAAAAGAAGTTTCATTGGATCACGGTGAGATGCAGTTACAAACTTGCATGACTGTGTTTCAAACGGTGCTGAGACCCATCCCTCCACCAGTGCACATTTCCCACCACCATTGTTCCCAGTGTCCCACCCACCACCCCCACCTTTGTGGCAGGTACCATCTTTCTTACTCTCTCTCATTTTGGGCATTATAATTTGCAATACAGATACTAAGAGGTCATCGTGTTTGGTCCTTGGTCTACTTTCAGCACACATCTCCCAACCTGGGCGATCCCTCCAATCATCATTTACTTAGTGGCTCCTTCTCCATCCCAACTGCCTTTTCCCCCAGCACGTGGGGTCAGCTTGAAACTCCTTTTAACCCTAGTAAAAAGGGATATTTAAAAAAAAATCTGAACAGACATCTCACAGAGAAGACATACAGGGTGACAAATATGTATGAGAAATAATTCTCTACAGCATATGTCACTGGGACATGCAAATTCAAGCAGTGAGATACCCCTACACACCGATTAGAATAGTCAAGACCTAGAGAGAGTGTCATTGAGCAGTGCTGAGAATGGGGAGCCATGGAAATCTCATCCACGGTAGGGGGCTTGCGAGTGGGGCAGTCACCATTGTGCTTACCCGAAGGAGTGAAAAAATGTATCTCCATACAAAAACCTTTACACAGCTTTATTCATGATTACCAAAATCTGGAACCAACCAAGATGTCCTCCCATAGGTGAGTGGCTGTATCGAGTAGTACGTGTAGATGATTGATTATGACTGAGAGCTAAAGCAAATGAGTGTGGCCTGAGTGATAATACAGCAGGGAGGACACTTGCCTTGCACATGGCTTTCGCGGGTTCAGTCCCCAGCACCACTTCAGGTCTGTTGAGAACCACCAGGAGTGATCCCTGAATACCGCCGGGGGTGGCCCAAACAACACCCCCCCAACACCACCACACATACACACACACACACACACACACACACACACACAAACCATTAACAAATGAAAAATAAAAACTAGTAATTTTTAAAATGAAAACCTCTGGGCTGAGACTTACTTTATTTAAACAAAGGTTTCATCTAAGGGAAAGTTAGGACTGTCAAGTAATTTTTTAAAAGTCCAACTCCATTGTTCATTCCTAGCATTTTAAGACAGCATCACTCTTTCTGTATAGAAGTTAGTTCCCAAAGGAATAGAAGAACCACAAATGCATATTACTGAATGAAAGAAGTGGTTCTGAAAGGTTATGTGGTGTGTGGTTATAACTATCTGATACTCTGGTAAAGGTAAAAATGGAGACAATAAAGGATCAGTGGCTGAGAGGTTAGAGAGAGGCGAGTAGAAACTGGGAGACTTGGGTGAACTGTGAAACTGTTGCATATACAATTGTGAATGTAGAAACTTGACTGTCAAACCCCTTATGATGTTCCACATAGAATGCTCCTGATGTGAACTGTAAACTTCAGCACTGCACTGCACTGCACTGTTCATCGATTTGCTCGAGCGGGCCCAGTAATGTCTCCATTGTGAGACTTGTTATTGTGTTTGGCATACAAGCTATACGTCATGGGTAGCTTGCCAGGCTCTGCCGTGCGAGCAAGATACTCTCGGTAGCTTGCCAGGCTCTCTGAGAGGGGCAGAGGAATAAAACCCTGGTCAGCCAGGCCGGCTGCGTGCAAGGCAAACACCCTATCGCTGTGCTATCGCTCCAGCCTGAAAACTTCAGCAGATAATAATATTTCACTGTGGCTTCACTGATAGCACAGCTGTGCCAGACCCTGATGCAGGTGTCAGTGAGTGCGGAGCTGTCTGAGCACTTGGTAGGGCTCTCGTGTGGGAATTCTCCTCTCAGCTTTCCAGCTTCCCTCCAAATCTATTCTGAAAATGATGTTAGTTTTTTTTTTAAGTAATATAGCCCTAAAAATTAGAAACGTCAATCAGAAAAAGAGAAAAATGTACAGTTGTCATTGTACACAAAAATAAGGTTCTTTTAGGAAGATGAGATGGCAGGAAACAGTGAGTGCTGTGGAAGGAGGACCAGGACACCCCGGGCTGCTGTGGCCCCCCCCCCCCCCCCGTGTGTCCCTGTGCTCCCGTGACAGCAGCTCTCCCCACAGGTGAAGAAGTGCATCTCCTCCCACCTCAGCACCCTGGCCGACTTCGCCATCGAGATGTTCGACGTGCTGGATGAGATCAACTATCAGTCCTACAACGACTTCGTGCTGCGTGTCGGTGTGTCCCGGGTGGGATTCAGAGGGAGTCGCAGGAGGCGGGTGGCCCTCCGTGGCATGCAGACGCCCAGCACGTGCTCTGATCCTGAAGCGCCCGTGGGGGCCCTGGAGGTGGGGGGACCTACACTGGCCCTTTCGGCACGACCAGGCCTGTCAGCTCCAGAGCCACGTCAGGAGAAGCGGCCGGAGGGCTGACTGGGGGCTCTGGCTTTGTCCCCTCTGGTGGTCTCACCCTGCAACCAGGGGGAACTGCTGTCTGTCTGGGCAGTGGCTGCAGCCAGCAGGCTCGCCCTCGTCCCACAGACGCAGGGCTCAGCCTGGCTGCAGCCACAGGCAGTAGGACTGTCCCAGGTGTCTCTCACGGGAGTAGGGGGCGGTATGGGGGCCCAGCCAGCGGAGGCTGGACTGCCTCTCTCAGTGTTGGGTTCCCCCGGCACACTGCAGTGCCCCCCCCTCCAGCCCACCCAGCTGTGCTGTTGGTGTTTTCCAGGCATCAATGTGGGCCCTGTGGTGGCTGGAGTGATCGGTGCGCGGAGACCCCAGTATGATATTTGGGGGAACACGGTCAACGTGGCCAGTCGGATGGACAGCACCGGGGTCCAGGGCAGAATCCAGGTCAGTGCACTTGGTCTCCTGAGGCAGAAGAGGCAGCGCCTGGCAGAGGCAGGATGGGCCCCTGAGCAGCCAGAGGACTGCTGGACTTGAGGCTGGGTTTGCTGTTTGCTTCTCAGGCAGCCCTGGGTGGGGTGGGGGGGTGCCAGGGTCGAGTTGGGGAGCCCCTGAGTGGTGGGAAGGAAGTGATGTGTTTTAGGGGCTAAGGGCAGGGTCCTGGCCAGGATGCAGGAAGGCCACTGGCAGGTGAAGGTTCAGTATCACATTCCCAGCCACAAGGTCTGGACAGGTCCCCAGGTACTCCGGGGGGCACTGGTGAAAGCGACATACATGGGGGCTGCTACGGGCCCACTGTCAGACAGGAAGGAAACAGGGTGAGCAACGCAGAGACCCACGGGTGTAGAAAATGCTCCCCACGAGTCATTGGCATGCGGGCTTCGGTCTCATTCTTGGGCTTCTTCAGAACATGCCAGAAGCTGAGCTAGCTCAAGCTGGTAGTGATCTAGGTAGCCAGCGCAGGAGAGAGGCTGGCCGCAGCCGGGCTGTGCAGGGGCCGAGGGACGCACTTGAGAGTAGCCTGGGACTCTTCGCGACTCCAGTGCATGGGTGGTGCGGGGTTCTGAGGGTTGGGGGGTGCCCAGCCCTGCCTCCCGACAAGCCCTGGGCTGATCACCCTGAAGCACCAGTCGCAGATGCTCCACAGAGGAGCGGGTTGAGGCTGGCTCCCGCGTGCCCCCTTCCTGCTGTGCTTGTCCAGCCCGGTTTGTTCCTCCCTGAACACTGGGTCTGCTGTGTGCCTGGAGGCCAGGCCACAGTCCAGGCATCTGCCAGGACCCGGGCTGGGACGACACGGAGGGTACAGCTTGATGCCCCTCCAGCCTCCCTCATGCTCCCAGAACCCCTTGTTCTGCTCTCCCTGGCGGGGTGGGTGCGGCCTGCCCAGCGAAGCAGGAGGAGCAGTGGTCCAGGTCCTTCCAGGGTGGGGTGGGCGCCTGCCACTAGGGCCCCGCGCCCCGCCCGCCTCCGCAGTTGAGTGACGGCCCTCTCCTCCTATCAGGTGACAGAGGAGGTCCACCGGCTGCTGCGCCAGGGCGTGTACCACTTCGTGTGCCGGGGCAAGGTCAGCGTCAAGGGCAAGGGCGAGATGCTGACCTACTTTCTGGAAGGCAGGACCGACGGCGGCCCCCAGGCCCGCGCCCAGGCCCTGGGCCGCAAGCTGTGTCCCTACCGCCGAGCCGGCCTCCCGGGAAGACTGGCCGCGCTGGGGGCTCTGCAGGGTGCAGGGCTGAGTCCCGGGCCCCCCGCCCAACACCCGCCCCCCGGAGCACCGGGGAAGGAGGCTTAGCCCAACCGGCGCTGGCCACTGAGCACAGCCTGGTGGCCCGGCTGGACGCCCCGCGGGGACCGACTGTGCTGGCAGAGCAGGCGGGGACAGTGTCCAGGCGAGCCACCGGGCTGACCTGGGAGGGGAGACCAGCCCCACAGCCCCCAGGCTCTCCTGGGCTCACGCTGTCGCAGCCTTCCCTGGGGCCCAGTCAGCGGCGGTCAGAGTCGGGCTGTGGGACTATGACTGGCAGAGCAGAGCCTGGTCAGCCGGCCATTTCCTCAGGCCCACCGCCTTGAGTGCCTGTTCATGGAACCACGGCTCCTGGGGGCTGAGTGGGAGCTGCCCCCGCCACAACCAGGGCCCCTGGAAGTGGGTTTCTGAGTTTACGGTTGTGATTGGGTATCCCTGCATGAGTGGCTGATCCCCATCCTGGGCATCTCTGGGGCCCTCCCGCCTTTCCGCACTCCCCAAGGATGAGCGGTCAGTGTCTCGGAGGGCCAGGGGGGATGGATGGGCAGGGACGGGCCACATGGGGACACTGCATCTCCTGGGACGGGAGGTCAGAGTCCCCGGCTTCTGCCTGGGGCTGCAGACCTGCTGCCCTTAAGCAACTTTTCCAGGACTATGGCCTCCAGGCTGCCCTCTGGCTCCTTCTCTCCCGGGTGTGCCACACTCGGAGGTCACTCTCTGAGAGTTGCGGGCAGTAGGGACTGGGCATAGCTGGCAGCTCTGCAGGCGGCCAGCCTTAATTGCCCATTGGGGTGGAAGAGGCCGGGGCGGGCAGGTGCCTCCCCTCACCATACCCTGCACTCACTGTCAGAGTGGAGGACGCTGATACCAAATCCCCTTAGAGGCAAGGGAAACTGAGTCACCTCAGGAGGCCCGCCCCAGAGTCTGTGCAGTTCCACGACCCGGGGTGTGGGGCAGGCTGGGTGGGTCCCGGGGATTGTGCAGGGAGCCGAGGCCCCCCCCCACATTTGCAGACCCCACTTCAGCATCAGCCCAAGCGTGCGGAGCAGCCCGTGCGCCCGCCTCTGGATGGAAGCCAGCGGAACCATCCCTCAGGTCCACGGGCCCACGGCCCCACGCAGGGCAGCCACCAAGTGCGTGGCCCCTGCCGTGGCCGCAGGGGAAGCCATCTGGCACTCGACTGTTTCAGACTCCGGGATCGCCTTCCGTGAGGGGCAGCATCCCCGCCATCATCAGCAGTTCCGGACCCCGCCCTCCCCCACTGCGCACAGAAGCCGTTTTCCGCCGTGATTCCACTCTGGGGGCTTGGGGACCTTTTCGTGTGTGACAAGCCTTATTTCCTGTGATCTCGTCCAGTAGTCCCGTGCTCACGTTCGGGCCGCTCAGGCGGGAGTCCGGCTCAGCTTTGGCCATGGCGCCACCCGGCCCTGCCCGGCCCCCTCCCTTGAATGCACATGCGAGCCGTGCACGTGATGTTTCTGCAGCCTCACACCCCTGCTTGACGACGCTTTGACCCTTGACCCTTGGAATGATCCCCTCGAGCCCTCTGGGACCCTTGCATGCCTCTGAAAGCTGTGCTCAGTAGAATAGGATGCAGCCCCAAATTTCAAACCCTCCATGCACCCTGGCAGCCCCATCCTGTGGTGTCTGTCCCGCCATCTGTCTGCTCCCCTCCCTACCCCAGCCTGGTGCCTGCCCAAGTCTCTCAGACTCCACAGCCCCCAGGACTCAGCAGGCACCTTCTCTAACCAGAAGCAATAACTGACTCCAAACTGCAGAGAGGAGCGGGTCTGAAGCCTCCTCTTAACGCCCAGATAAGCCATGCGTCTAGTTTGCCCAAATGCGAGTGTCCCGGGGTTCTCACACTCTCAAGGGGTGCAGCACACCCTGCCACCCGATCCCGGGGCCTCCCATGTCAGCCTTCGTGCCCGAGGAAGATGTGTGGTCTCTATCATGGCCACACTGGCTGTCCAGCGTGTGAGGTGCCCACTGCGGTCCCAGGTGGGGACATTTGAGTCTTCTGGTCAGTCTGTTTGAAATGCAGGCCTAGGCCGCTGTGGACACTGGGTCTGTCCAGGTTCCACCAGCCCTCAGACTCACCCTACAGCGCAGCCAACAGGGACACCTTTGAGCATCTCAGAGCTGTGGCCAAGTCCCATCTCAACCTGCCACTGACAAAGAAGGGCCCCCACTTCCTTCTCGTCACCCCCCGCCGTGCGATCCTGCCCCAGTCCCTGGGTGACCTGCCCTTCTGCACACCTCTCTCTGTGCTCCCAGTGCAGGGACACGGCCCTCTCTCCCCCAGACTGGCCCTAAGGCAGCTTAGAAAGTGGGTGAGCTTGTGGGAGAGTGGGTCTGGCCGAGGCACAAGCAGGAGGAACCATGCGAGCGAGGGGCCCTGGGTGGTGCATCCCGGGGCAGCCCCTGAATGACTGGTGAAGCTGGAGCTCCCCCATGGGCCCACCCTTTCAGTGAAAGGGCAGGGGCCAGCCCCTGCTCCTGGAGGCCAGCACACTGACAGTGTCGATGGAATTAGCAGTGCTCCAGCCTGCACAGAGGCTGGGGTGCGGTGGTGTCCCCAGGTCCAGACCCCCTCTCCAGCTGTAGTTTGATTTCAGAGTCGAGAGTCTGGCCCGTGGGCCCCTTTTTTCGGGAGCCCAGATTCCTTAGCAAGGAGATACTGAAAAGTGAGACCTTCCTCCGGGCTATCTTGGGTTTGATTTACCCTCCTGGCTTCTGAGTCCCAGGGAAGTTTTAAGTCAGAACCAGGAGTCAGCTGGAGTGATGGGGGGAAGGCCCAGAGGCCAGTGGCAGAACTAGGGACCCTCAGCCAGTTAGAGTTTGGCCTCAATCCATTATCCTGGTCTCAGCCCACCGGAATTTGAGAGCGTTTCCAAGCGGGCATCCCCTGGGGTGCTCAGGGCTCATGGTGTCCACAGCTGCCTGCCAGTCTCATCCTCGCTGCATCCTCGGTCTGGTGGGCAGAGACCAGGTGCCCGACAGAGGGGTCTGGAGGGCCCCAGGTGGGGGTCAAAGGCAGAGACCTTCGGGAAAGCTCAGCACAGCCTAGGATGATCCTTCAGCTTGTCTCCAAAGTTCCCAGAACCCTCAGCTCTGCTGTGCTGTGAGAAGGGTCCCCGCTCAGACGCCTGCTAGACCCTAGCCTAGGGCTGGAGCCTGACCTTGAACCCCCTCGGAGGGCTGGGGGCTGGAATAAGCATGTGCCGGCAGGCCCACGATTGCTTTGGGAGAACTTGGGAAGTTTTCTTGAGCCCTAGAGCCAGGTCCTGAAACTGAGGACTTGACCCTCTGGACACCCCACTAGGACAGTCACCGCCGGGCTCAGCTTAGCCCACCCTGAAACGACAGCCCGATGGCACTTCTTCACATAGGGCGAGCCCAGCTTCAGTTCTCAGTCAGAAATCATGCCAACGTGTGGACAGTCACGTTTGAGATTCCTTCTCTTACTTCCTGTTAGAGCCATCTAATGCCATTGTTCCGTTCCTGGCCTGGGGTAGGTGGCCAGTGTTCCTTCTTAGAGGATGTGCCGGGACATCTGCCGAGAAGTCCAGCGAAGGTGAGAGGGATGGAAGCACGTGGTAGAGTCTTGGCAGTCTCGGAGGGCATGAGGCGGCCCTTCCTGGCGGGACTGACTCCCGCCAGAGCGGGCAGCCACCTTCGTGGGGTTGGTCTCCACGAGGGTGTGCGGGCACTCAGTGGGATCGTGTTTAGACAGTGGCTCTCCCAGATGTGCACTCCAAGGCCTTGTGGGCGTCCGCACGTGTCTGTGCGCCACGTGTCCTGAGCCCCGCGGCTGGGGGCAGCTGGCCCCTCCCCCACAGTCAGGATCTGTTCTTGCCTCCCACCAGCAACCCCCAGATAACCCTGGGCCCTGGGCCCAAAGCACAAATCTCAGGAGAACACAGCCATGTCTGGGAGCCTGAGGAACCCCACGCTGCGCCTTGCACAGTCTGAGCGTCAGCCCAGGAGAGGCGGAAGAGTCGCCTTCCTTCCTGTTCCAGCTCTGGACACCCAGGCCCTGTATCCCCGGGATCTCTTGCTGTGGAATCTTAGATTCTATTTGAATTTGGAAACGTGGCGTGTGCAAAGTGGGTCAATATGCTGATTGGCCATGTGTCCCTGAATCCAAGCGGAGTTGGGACCCTGGGCCTCGCAGAGCCCAGCACCTTCAACACCCTCCCCAGCACCCCCTCCCTGGTGTCCTGTGTTTGCACGCCGATTTGCACAAGTGAAGAAAAATGTCAAGAAAAATGTCAATGTCCATTACTGGTAGACTTTTCTCTCAGTTAAGGCAAACCCAGGGCCGTTCCTGGATTTTCTTGGTTACTGCTGTAAACTCCGAGGCCCTTCTGTGTCCCACTAGCTGTCCCTTGTGCCCCTACTTGGAATGCAGAGGGGGTGGACGTAGGTGACCGCCTCCCACTAATAGAGTTCCCTGAGGGCGCTTTTCTAGGCATGGAAACGAGACGATATTTGAATGACAACAGCGTCAGTGTCACCGGGTAACTTGTAGATTTGTAACACTCCATACGGGTCTATTTTTACGTCAACTGAACACTGTGGCGTACCTTCCAGTCTTCCAAGATTGTTAAACTGAGACATGTAATGAAACAATTTGTCCTATTTTTATTTTTAAAAATGGACTGAAATGTTATATGTGAATGTACATTTCTTAATTGCAACTTTTCTACTGAGTGTTTGCACTATACTTTCTGGAATCTTATTTAACAAAATAAAGGGGGAAACTTGCTTGACTGAACTCAGGGGTGATTTTAATCACAAAGCCCACGTTTGTGTGAGATTTCAACACTCCTGCCAGATTCATGTCTCCAGCCACTGTTCTAGGGGACAGTGCAGTGTCCTGTGTACATTTCCCGCGGGTGTTGACCCTGCTGGCCTTCCTCCAGCTCTGCTGTGACCTTGTCAAGAGGAAGCCCATGTGTAGGACCAGTAGATGGACAAACTCAGCTTTTGCTCCTACACAAGATAATTCAAGAAAATAATTTGGGAGAGAAAGAGGAGAAAAGAGGAGGAAAGAGAAGGAG